TCAACTTCACACACAAGTATTATGTATCCATGTCTTCAAACACTCCCACATTCATCGTACATGAATTTATAACATATAAGACACACCATGGCTTGGTATTGTTAGGCTACTCAACCGTTAGACAATTATATGTTTCTATAGATAAATGCATATTCATTTTATAAAATGTCTTACTTTTGGTTGAGATTCCGATTGGTTGGTAGCTATATATAATTACCAAATACATCGGTCTCCACTTCTTAATTTGATGTCATTAAAGGTAGCAATAGCATTACTCTCACACATACACACACACATGAGCTTCAATATATATAGTAACCATAAAAGACCATCAAGCATATAAAGGACCAACAATAAAATTTTTACCACACTACAGTTAAGGAAGAAAAACAATAGCCATGAACATGAAAACAGCAAAGAAAATAAGGGGCTTCATGTGCCATTCCCCTGCTTCCACTGCCGTCTGCATGTCCCAAGACGGACGGTCCGTGATCGTGCCTCGGAGGCCAGATCGCATGCCGACCTTCGATCACTTTCGACTGTTAAGCAGCACAAAGTACGTCCGATTGGGTGAGCAACGTGCGGTGCCTGCACCGAGTATCAAGGGATCGTCATTTCACGTTTCGAGTCTGGAGAAAAAGAATCCCCTCACAGTTTCTGATTGTGTTTTTCAGGTTGGGAAAAATATATTATTTAATTTCAATTAATGTTCTTTTTGTTGTTGATCTTTTTTTTTTTTTTTCACTTGTAACTTCTTATTTATTTATTTATTTATTTATTACTATTATTATTATTATTATTTTGTGGGGATTTTAAGGGGATGAAAATTGGTCGTATAATTTGGTCACAGTCCCAAAAACCACCCCGATATTGGGCACTTTCAAAATTGGTCCTAGAATTTCAAAGTTTAATCAAATTTAGTTTTTTTTTAATCAAATTTGGTCATTTTTTAATCACATTTTAATCCATGTTCCGACAAAAAGGATCAAATTTGATTAAATTTTGAAATTATAAGTGGTCAATATCGGGATAATTTTTGGACTTTGGCCAAATTATAGGACCAATTTTTGTACCAAAAAAAAAAATTGTAGGACCAATTTTAAAATTATGCCCGATTTAAAGGATTATATATGTGGTGGCAGGTTGTTGTAATGAGAGTCTCCATTCACTGCCAAGGTTGTGCTGGTAAAGTGAAGAAACACCTATCCAAAATGGAAGGTAAACAATTTTTTTTTTTTCTAAAGTTACCCAAAATCTTCTTGCTAATGATTGAAATGAAATAAAATTGAATGTAGATGAATAAATTAAAGGATAATATAAAAATAAAAGGATATTATATAGGAATACTTCTTGTTGTCTTCAAAAAATTGTTATTTGAATTGTGCATAATATAACTTGCTTTTTTTTTTATTGGGACAAGATCTTAATTATTTTTTTGATAAATAAATAAAAAATAAAAGATTAATTGGAACTAAAACTGGGAAAATATATTGTTCTTTTCTCTATCAATGATGCATTATTAATTAAATGCTGTTAATTTTTATTTTTATTTTTGGGACAAAGTATTATTGGTATAAATGCTGTTAAATCAAGATTGCCAGCACATAAACTTCCTTAAAGTGGTAGCAATGAGTTGAAATAATCAAATTTATTTTATTTTTATTTTCTTCTCAATAAAATGTACAAGTGATCGAGTTGATTAGGTCAACTCATTTAATTTGGACCACAGAGCATAAGGTAGTTAATTTTACAGAACCGTACAACTCAATTTTACAGTAACTTTATGGTACATATGAATCATTAAGTTGAGGTAAATTTTCATTTAATTTTTTTTTTAACCATTCGATCATTACACATCCTTTTGTGTACGATAAAAGCTCGATAACTGCAGTGCAGTCATCGATAATATTAGAATATTCACTTGTTATAGTATGTTTTTAATTAAGTCGAGGATCATGTATAAGTAAAAGGACAAATATTAAAGAAAACTAAATTAAAAATTTACACATTTTATTGCATGTTAATATGTTGTGTTCTTATGTATTTAATTAGAGATGGTTTGAATTATTTTGCAAGGGGTGACGTCATTCAGCATTGATCTGGAGAGCAAGAGGGTGACCGTGATGGGACACGTGTCGCCATCTGGGGTGCTGGAGAGCATATCAAAGGTGAAGAAGGCAGAACTTTGGATCAACGGTGAAAAGGCAGAGCTTTCGGGTCACGGGCGGGTCGATTTAGTTAATTCACTGGCCTGCCCAAATTAAATGCATCATCCATAAAATTAAATCAAAGGTGCTTTCAATTTTTTTTGGTCTTATGTTTAATTGGATGGTACCAATGAAATTAAATTCACGAGCTAATATTTGATTCGATGGTCCCAAATTTAAGGTAATAATACTTCTGGAAATATTAAGGTCATGTTACGGAACTATTTCGTCGAGATTTGTAATCGTTAGATCAACATGTAACCGTCAGATATAGTTGATTTAACACTATTACAAACCACGACGAAATAGTTCCGTAACGGGAGTGTAACATTTTCCAATACTTCAATGTTATTGTCTGGATGAAGTATTGAATATTAAGTAAGTTTATTTAACCTCTTCATTTATTTTTGTTGTATATGAATTTGTATAATATTTTGTTAAATAAAAATATCCACGCCCACATAACTTACGCGACACGCAATATTATTTACCGTTCTACGTTACACTACATACAGATCGAAACGCAATACATTACGCAATGCCTCTTTTAGAAGACTGGTCGAAACACCGTATATAAGAAGATGTATATATGTAATATCTCTATGTACTATATTCTACTTTCGGCAAAGCAAAAAACTCTCGGCTAAAGTACACATATGCACACAGTATATTTTTTACCTACCAACTTAGGTGATTTATTCCATTCCAACCTTATCACAAATAAAGATTTTTATTTCCACACGTGCTACATAATTATCTCTTAATCTCTCTCCAATCGAAGCAATTAAATTGGTAACTGTTACATATCTTTATTTTTAATAAAAATAATAATAAAAAAAAAGATATGACATCTCCACAAAAAAGTAGCCACCAAAATTTTCGTATTCATCCATGGCCACGAAAAGAGAAGTCCAAGAAATTAGATTATCTAGTATTCCGGTTAATGTTAGACTATAAAATAGCATTTTGTACTTTAAGTATGTTTTTATGTAAAACATGTTTTTACTTTCCTCAACATTTTATGTTTGTATATTGGGTTTCATATAAATAGCTCAAACCCTAATATTGTACACACTTTTTCATTGTTCAATATTCAGAATTTATTTTTTCTCTCACACGCTCTCTCTTCCTTTCTCTCTCGTTATGCATCTCTGATTTTATCATGGTATCAGAGCTGAGAGTTGAGAGGAAGCCTGAACATATTTTACAAGTTGCAAGAGCACTTATGTTTCATGCACATCTCCCTTTACAGTTTTGGATGGATTGTGTATTATTTGTTGTTCACATTATAAACAGAATTCCATTACCTATTTTGCAAAACAAGACACCTCATGAAATGCTTTACAACAAATCTCCCACTTATGATCATTTAAAAACAATTGGCGGTCTTTGCTATGCTTCAACTCTGCACTCTCATAGATCTAAGTTTGATCAAAGAGCATCAAAACGCATCTTACTTGGTTATCCATTAGGTTATAAAGGTTATAAACTTTATAACTTGGATACCAAGAATATAATAATATCCATAAATGTGTATTTTTACGAGTCTGTGCTTCCATTTAAGAATCCTGATACTGCTGATACTTCATCTCAGAATTCTCCATTATGAGCCTCCACAAACTATACAAACTGTCCCCTCTACCACTCCTGTTACCTCACCCTCACAGCAACATATCAACCACAATAATTCTCTTGTTATTCTTCCATCCCCTCAATGCTCTAATCCATCTCCTATTATGGATCAGACTACCTCATCCACTACTCCTCTGAGGAGATCCACCAGAAACAGAAATCCTCCTCCTTACTTAAACATTTACAAACACTCTCTCCCTCATTCTTCTAAACTTTCATTTTGCACAGCACGGACTCACACATCTGGAACATCTCCATATCCCATGCATGATTATGTATCCACTGACAGGCTGAGTGTATCATATTCCTGTTTTACTGCCTCTATTTCTTCTATTCTAGAACCTAGAACTTATAAACAGGTTGTTAAAGACCCACATTGGCAAGAAGCTATGTCTAAGGAAATAGATGCCTTAGAAAAGACCAACACTTGGGTCTTGACTGGTCTACCCCCAGGTAGGCACTGCATTGGGTGTAAGTGGGTTTTTAAGGTAAAGTATAACTCTGATGGCACACTAAGTAGATATAAAGCTAGACTAGTGGTCAAAGGCTATACACAGGAAGAAGGGATCTATTATTTTGATACCTTCTCCCCAGTTGCCAAAATCACCACTGTTAGTGTTAGTGTTATATACTGAAAGCTTGGCTTTGGATGATATTACACTTTTACCTTTTATGAATGAGAAACATGTTAGATTAAACAAGTTCTACGTTCTGTTGTTTTGCATTAGATAGTGTGGGTCGTCATCGGGCGAACCAAAGATCATGCTATCAGTTACTCGCGAAACAAGAATAAGTGGTTCGCAACCCAGATGGACATGAACACCCCATCGCGTACGATTGTAGTGTCAACTGTACAGTTTGTCTTGACTGATTAGTTGCACTAGTACATTTATGTATTGAATAGGATCCCAGAGACGAGCAATTCGTTTTATACTGATCATCGTAAACGAACTAGGCCTCGGTTAATTACTGCGTACTCTTAAACCGTAAGATATTAAACAGACATATATGTGTAGTATTTATTACTTTGATTCACATGGGTGAGGCTTAGTGAACTGGTCCAATGGACCCACTGTCTTGGGTAATATTACTACATGTAGGATGTGCTGTTAGGATATTGACGGTCACCATGTGCGTTAGTTTGATGATGTCCCCGGAGTGAGTTCATGAAAGACTATTATGCTAAACCCTGCAGGTGGATTAAATTCTGGCATAGTAATAATGTGATGGACGAGCGCTAGCTTCGGTGAAATAATAATAAATTAATTAATTCTTGATTGTCAGTAATCGAATTAATTAATAGACATTATATCTTAAACATGGGGAGATATATCGAGTAATTATTATTGAGTCTCAATTGTAAATTGGACTAGGAAAAAGGGAGTGCAATAATATTATGTTGGTGACCCATTCAATATTATTTATTTAATTAAAATAAATGGCTTGGTCCACAAGTATTTTAATTAATTAAGGAGCCATAATTCTAATCTCCTAAGGGTCCCTACTGTAGCTCTATATATACATCATTAAGCTCATGGGAATAAAAGAGAATTCCACATCTTGGACACGCCCCACGCATCTCTTCTCTCTCTCTCAGTTCCCATTCGAGCTTTATATTCTTCTTGTTGTTCCACTGGTACAAGATTAAGAGGTGTTTGAGATATACAGTAGAAGACCTTTGGGTAAAGTGAGACGAAATATATTTGGTCGTACAGAACTAACCGGAGGTCTGATCAAGACGTGCAGTATATCCAGACGACCGTCTCGACGAGAGCTTTCCAACACCACTGAGATCGCAGCCGTCCGACCACCCATGCGCCCGCAAGCGCCGCCGCAAGGTCCCAGGACTGCAACTTATCTTCATCTATTTTGCACTCGTTTGATTCAGTTTTCAATCCGATCTTGTTCGTGCAACCCTAGAACGAAATTTGCAGTCTACTTTTCATTGGTGTGCTGTGTACGGCCATCCAGAAGATTAGCCAGATCGCCATAAATTTTAAGCCGTAAGTTATCTACGCAAACCTTTAGATCCGCTGCGCATAGGCTTACGTTTTGCTATTGAATTCGTGATTTGTGCATAACGAGATCTTCATTGATCCCAACAGTTAGAACATTGTTAGCAATAGCATCTATTAGAAACTGGTCTCTTTATCAACTAGATGTTAACAATGCTTTTCTGCATGGTGATTTAAATGAAGATATATATATGACTCCACCTCCTGGCTACTTAGATATTAATTCAACCAAAGTCTGTAAACTTGTAAAAAGCTTATATGGCCTTAAGCAAGCTTCCAGACAGTGGTTTCATAAACTTACATCTTGCTTATTAAATTATGGATACTCTCAGTCTAATGCTGATTGCAGTTTGTTTATCAAATCATCAAATTCATCATTCGCTGCTTTTTTAGTTTATGTTGATGATATAATATTTGCTGGCAATGAGATAACTGAGATTAATGTCGTTAAATCCCATCTGCATGCTTGCTTTACCATTAAAGATTTGGGAAAATTAAAGTACATTTTGGGCATTGAAATTGCACAATCTGATAAAGGCATCAATCTCTGTCAAAGAAAATATGCTTTGGATCTTTTACATGATACAGGTTATCTTGATTCAAAACCTGCTAATTATCCCATGGATTTAAATTTGAAACTTACTTCTGTTAACAATGATAATTCTGAACCTGTTGATGCCACTGCATATAGAAAACTTATAGGGAGATTGCTCTACCTTACTATTACAAGGCCTGATCTCTCATTCTGCATCCAAGCATTAAGTCAACATATGGTGTCTCCTACACAACAACATCTCACAGCAGCACATAGAGTGCTCAGGTACCTCAAAAACTCAGTGGGCAAAGGTATTTTCTATCCTAGAGACTCATCTTTATCTTTACATGCTTTTTCAGACAGTGACTGGGCTGGTTGTATTGACACTAGGAGAAGCATTACAGGTTATGCATTTTTTATTGGTAAATCTTTAATTTCTTGGAAATCTAAGAAGTAACAAACTGTTAGTAGATCTTCTGTTGAATCTGAGTATAGAGCTTTAACATCTACAGCTTGTGAGGCACAATGGTTACTATATTTGCTTAATGATCTCCAAATATCTCATTCATTTCCTGTGACTGTTTTTTCAGATAGTAAGTTTGCCATTGCTTTAGCTAACAACCCTGTCCAGCATGAAAGGACAAAGCATATAGAAATAGACTGTCATCTAGTGAGGGAAAAGCTCTCCACAGGCACAATTCAGCTGCAATTTGTTCCCTCTTCAGACCAAGTTGCAGACATTCTCACAAAGCCACTTGGAGTTCAAGCTTTCCAGCACAATTTGTCCAAGATGAACATGTTAAACATCCATGCTCCTCTTGAGGAGGGGTGTTAGAATATAAAATAGCATTTTGTACTTTAAGTCTGTTTTTATGTAAAACACGTTTTTACCTTTTCCTTAGCATTTTATGTTTGTATATTGGGCTTCATATAAATAGCCCAAACCCTAATGCTGTACACACTTTTTCATTGTTCAATATTCAGAATTTATTTTTTCTCTCACACGCTCTCTCTTCCTTTCTCTCTCGCTGTGCATCTCTGATCTTATCAGTTAATAAGCAACATATAAACCTATAATAAGCATAAACTATATCCTGAAAAGATAGAACAGTTTGATACATATACTAATATGGATATTATACTAGATCGACTGTAATGGATAAGAAGAAATGTATTGGAGAATAAATCATATGGCATAATGATATTGGTCAGACTTAACTTGGCACTGAGATACACTCCCCCTGTACAGGGAGACTAAGGGTGTGTTTGTAAAAATATTTACCCAAACCAAATTAATTCATACTCAAAATCTAACTCAACTTTAACTCAACCCTACCATCCTTAATATTATCAATATAATTAAATAATAATAACCAATCATTTTTACACATCATATCAACTTTAATTCATTGTTCATCCACTAACATAATTTTAACTAACTATCACTTCATATCATTTGTCTCCTACTTTTACATTAAATCAACTTTAATTGTTGTATTTTAAATATTACTTTAATGTGCTCTCAAAATCTCACTAATAACTAACTATACTACTATTTCTTAATTAACCATAGTTATCTAAAAAACTCACTTTAAGTTAATTTGATTGAATTTATCCTTTTACAAACACACCCTAAGTTATCTCAAAACATCATTCTCTCTACATTCATGATTAAGCTCTCATTTGCACTCTTGATTCGGAGCTAGTGCTGACTTAGACATCAAAGGCCCGACGCCGAAATCCTTCTCGACGTTGAGTTCTTGTAGGTACGAAGGCCGAACCGGAATGAAATCTATTTCACTACCATATAGTATATGGTATATAAAAAACTTGAAGTTAATATGACAACAAAATAGAGTAGTAATATACTGTTAATTATAGCGTTTTGTGGACATATAAACTGTAATAAACGACATATAAATTGTTATAAACAACATATAAACATGTGCGAAGAGGACCTTCACCTGTCAACAAAAATCGCTTAATCATATGTCATATTTCATTGTGTTACTCCACGATACATACACCTTTTCAGTTCTCACTCACCTCAATTAATTTTCAAATCTTCCCAAAATTCTCTTCGTAGGGCAAGAAGTGCTGCGACCAACGGAGCCCAGAGACGTGGGATTGGCGGCTACTGGAGTTGACAATTTATGGCTTAGATTTGTGGCTCATCAAACGATGAAGCGGCTGGCAGCTGAAAATCCTCTTCCTGGCATGGAAGGAGGCGATGGACGACAGAGGTCCGATGGTTGATTCGGCACGATAGACTATGACGTCGAATGCACGCTAGTGATGGTTGGCTGCTGCCGGATGCAGCCTGCCTGCACGCGGATGGTTGCACCAAGAACGCATGGCTGCAGTTGGGACGGAAAATGCTACATGTACATAATAAATGTAAATAGATGTGTACATAACTCACACATGGTGTGAGGTCCACTTGATTTATTATTTTTGGTGGGTCTCACTCAATTTGAGTATTATGTACACTCTTATGTACACTATTATGTACTTGTAGCATTACTCAGTTGGGACATGGTGGTATACGGCTGGTAGTGGAAAATCAGGAGAGCGAGGTAGAGGTTTTTCTGGTGGGTGATGATTCAGCCAAGGCGCTTGGGGTTAGTTTCTGCAGCCAGAGTTTGATTAGGCGTGAGGTTGGGCCTTGAGAAGTTGCGGTTCGGAGTTTGTAGTAAGAGGGCGGCCGTGGCAGTTTGCGGTACATACGGTGGTGATTCGTCGAGGGATCGGCGCGTTTGGGTCAGTAGTGCCGGGGAGGGGGTCTTGGGTTGGGACGAAAGAGCATGGGGCTTGTGTAATTAAGATGAAATAATTTTGCATATCCCATTAACATAAATTAAGCATTTACCATATCTAAATATATTTGACTTGGTAAACCTAATGGTTATATATGGCAATTGCAATAAAAAAATTGGTTAAAAAAAAGAACAATGTAATGCATAAATGTAACAAAAAATTAGAAGTATTATGTTTTGTCAAATAGAATTTATAAATATTTTTTAAAACTTTAGAAATCATGTTATAATCAATTAGGATTTGTTAAGACTTTTAAAAGAAATTAATGAGACTATAATTTGTTAGAATTTTTTAAGATTTTGTGAGATTTCAAAAGAAAAAATCTTATACGAAATTTTAATTTAAATCTCACCTCCAGACTTAAGATTTCACGGAATTTTTCCAAAATCTAAAAATCGTAATAAATCTCAATTCTTAAAAAGTTTCAAAAAGTCATTTGAAATCCGAATTGAACAAATCCCCATACATGTGGTGAGCAATTTCTATAAAAAAAATAATAAAAAAACATGTGGACAAAAAAAAAGAAAAAAAAAAAGGAGTGGACATATATCAAAACCACGTATTCAAAGAATACGTTTTCTATACAATTTGTGTAGAAAACGTATTCAAGGAATACGTTTTTTCAGAATTTTTTATAAAAGAAACCGTATTCCTTGAATACGTTTTACAATTAAAAAAAAAGGGGTAAAACGTATTCACTAAATACGGGGTTTTTGGTCCACTTTCATTTGATTGTGTCTTTTTTTTTTTCCACAACTTAATTTTTTTTAAATTTTCTGGTAAAAAATTCTACATGTGGTGGGGGGCGTCACAGTGAGATACGTGACAAATACACTAGAAGAGCCCATCAAGCATACATTATCATGTTCATTTCGCGGTTGAAGTTCAAAACAACATAGAAGACCCAATACCATGTCTCCCATGATATCACTAATTTTCTCAATTGGGCAAAATCCTACGTTACAAGTAGAGCCGGCGAAGCCCCCCTTTTGACGGGGCGGAGTTGGCTGGCCCGCCATCCTGGCGGGCCTGTAAAATGCCGGCCCAACCTGCTCCGCCACGGGGCACGGGCTCGGATGGCCAGCCCGCTTTTTTTATATTTTTTAAGCTGGGCTACAAGCCTGCAGTATGTACTAGTGTGGAGTTTAAAAAACCTAATGTTTGGTTGGATGAGCCGTGGCCCAATTTTATATATATTAAAAAAATAAACCTGCTGCCAGCTAGCCTGTAGCATGTTAAAAAAGAAAAAAAAAAAATGCTCTTGTAGCATGTAAAAAAAAAACAACCTGCTGCTTAGGGGTGTTCACGGTTTGGATTGGTCCGGTTTTAGCCCAAACTATAATCAAACCAGACGTAACGGTTAATTTTTTTTCTTGTCCATAATCGAACCGGTTTTATTTTTTAACCGGCCACAATCCGGACCGCATTGGACGGTCCGGTTTGGCGGTTAACCAGTCAAATCCAAAATCCTTGTTTTGGGCCTTCAATTTTTATTTTTATCATTTTGGGCTTAATTTTTATTTTTTAATTTTGGGCCCAAAAGAGATTAGTTGGGCCTAAAAATTAAGAAAACAACAATAAGGAAATAAAAAATATACAATTCGTCCCATAAACATAAAAATACACCTTTTATCTCATAAACATAAAAGTACAAAAATGATGAAGATTAAATTATGCAAACTGACTGTATATATATATCTGTTATATTTTCTTAATATTTACTGGTCCGGTCCGGTTAAACTGACGGTTTGCCGCAGGTAATCCATTAACCGGATCGGTTATTACGAATTTTTAGAAAAATTAACCACCGGATTTTTTAAGGCCTTTTTAACCGACCATTTAACCGATCCGCGGTCTGGATTGACGATTTTTTTGGTTAAAACCGGACCGTGAACACCCCTGCTGCTGTCGTGCAAGCAATATACGATGACGAGTGACGAGTATCTGAGACTGATTGTATTTGTATATTTTTAATTTAATATAACATATATTAATAATATATATATATATATATATATATTTGTTTGTTAAATAAGGCGGGCTAGCCCGCCGGCTAGCCTGCCCGGCCAGCCATGACCCGCGGCCCGCGCAGGCTGGCCCAGAGCAGGTCTAGAAAATCCCAGCCCAACCCGGTCTTTTTGTGGGGCGGAGCGGGCCGGCCCGCAGCCAAATTGACTGCTCTGGTTATAAGCTATTTTGAATCTTGACGTTGCTATGGCATTAATTCGTTTAAACTCTACTAAATTGTTAAACTTTTAGGTAAAAAATATCCATATTAAACAAAAACAAGTTTGTATAATTCGAAATATTATTTACATCAATATATCAATTCAAATGTTATAACTTTCGATCCGACACAGTAAAAATGGAAAATATGTTAAAAATATTACGAAAATGAAAGAAACGACAACAAAATTTTAGCACACAAGTGATAAAACATCAATAAATATTAATGGATAAAGGCTTTTATGTCTTATATCTAGGTTGTGAAGGAGCCGAACCAAACTCGAGCTTAAGGTGCTGGAACTCTGTTTGTTAAGGCCTCGAGCTCGAGTCTTGCCTATCTCGAGCTTTGACGAGCCGAACTATAAAAAATTATATAAAAACTCTTTTTTCTAGTCTTATCGACGACTCGTTAACTAAATGAGCTTTCAATGAGCTCGAGCTCGACCCATTAAGACCTCGAACTCGAGCTTTTACCGAGCCGAGCCCGACTTGTTTAGGAAAAATCCAAGAAATTATTACAAACTAGTGTAGGAAAAGATGTCCACGTGGAGGGTGATGGATGGAGTAATTGATCCCCATTGGTCAGAAATCTATCCATTCGAATCCATGAGATTTGGTTCCAGATTTCAGCCAATCCTACTTGGCTCCACTCAGCACCCAACACTGCCTTTAAGTCACAATTCACAAACGCGTCACTAACCTCCCTTTCTCTCTATTACTCATTCATACAACAGAAAAAGAAAAAAAAACATCAAGGGCTAAAATTTATACAGAGAGAAACACTTCGACATATATATATGGCTTCAACATCTGCTGCATTGGTAAATGGCCTCGGATCGGCCTTCCTCTCCGGCGGCAAGAAGACTCAGGCACTGCTCTCAGCCCCTGCTGCCGCCCGGCCCGTGGCCTCCAGGCGGCTCGTTGTGGCGGCCGCCGTCGCCCCCAAGAAGTCCTGGATCCCGGCCGTCAAGGGCGGCGGCAACTTCATCGACCCCGAGTGGCTCGATGGCTCGTAAGTCCCCTCTCGCTCGATTCACTCTAAAGCTCCGATTGGATCGACAAATATATATACATTTTCCAACAAAATTTATCAACTAACATATTGTAACTCTCAGTCATATATAATCATTGTTTTACTACTTTTATATATATCAATTTGCCTCTAATCATTACATTTTACTTCACATTTATTCATTATTATTATTAACAAATTATTCATTATTCCATCCAATTCTCGAACTGAATCAATTGATCAGGCTGGCGGGGGACTTTGGTTTCGACCCGCTAGGGTTGGGGCGTGACCCGGCGTTCCTCAAGTGGTACCGTGAGG